TTGTTGAAGAAATGGTTCCAAAGTATGACGGATATGATGTGGGAGGAGGAGAAGGAGTTGCATGAAAAACTCAGGAAAGGAGGGGTGAAGTTGAATATGGGGCGGGAGGGCGAAGGGCAGCTACTCATGGTATATGAGCGTGGTGGAGGTAAGTTACTTCAATGCCCACGACTGACAGAAGTCGATGTTCATACCTTATGATATAGGATACTGTAGGTTGATCTCCAACCATGATGCATGATGTTGTCTTTGCTTGACTTAGTTGCGCAGGGCTCGACAAGGGCGCCGCAGACCTTATAGAATCAGGCGATATCAAGGTCAAGCAAGGAGTAGAACCAACCGAGTTTACGGAGAATGGTCTTGTCTTCTCAGATGGTTCTCAACTGCCAGCGGATGTTGTGATCTTTGCGTGCGTCTCGTTCTCTTCTTGTTGCCAAGGCTGATATCCATATCATGGCTCGAACTGCTTAGAACGGGCTACAAAAACATCAGGGAAATCAATACAAAGCTTTTCGGTGAAGATGTCATAAATCGCACGAGCGAGGCTGCAGGCTTCGACGAGGAGGGCGAAATGAAAGGCATTTATAGGCCGACTGGACACCCTGGGGTGCGTTATCTTTCCTTCTTAGTGTAAGAAAGGGAAGCATCTCACCCCCTCTCCGCTACACCGTTTAGTTGTGGTATGCAGCGAGCGATTTCTGGGCTTCCCGGTACTACTCAAAAGCATTGGTCAGCAGTCCCCTGCACATCATTACCTCTATGGCGACGATTTGTTAATCGAGTTGTCCAGGCGATTCAAATCAAGGCCAGAGAATTAGGGCTTGTCTCTTCGGCAGTGCCGGACTATATACCTCAGTCACGAATGTGATGAACGAATTTCGAGTGGAAGCTAAGTGCCAGTAAAATGGGGTGTATTCGATTGCTATGAAATATTGGTATTACAGGCTATGAGTGTACGGATTTGCGAAGTGTTGCAAGAGTAGAGAATAGACAACGGCAGAAAACCGACCAAAAATAAAACAATAGTGCTACGTGAGAAGCTATACTGTCAGCATCGTCATCTTGCGACGGCGAGAAGGTGATAGGGGAACAAGGACCTACAATAATAATACATTACAATGCTGAATGTCGACGCTTGGCTACTTGACAAGGGGACGGATACCAGAGCCACCGTCCTTGAGACCTTGGCCATTACCCGCATAGTTCTTCACCTCTTGCTCATATTGAGCTAACAGACACGTTTAGCTCCAGGAGTTCCACACATAGGCAGATAGAAGTACGCACTCAGAGGTTCGTCAACCTTTGGCTTCTTGGGAGAAGGTTCTGTAGCAGAATTTGAGTCGGATGGAGGAGGAGGAGGACGCTTGCCCCGGGTTTTCTGGTGATTCATGACGTCAGGTCGAGTGATCGTATAGGACAAAGCAAGTCTACTCACGAATCGATTGTCAAAAGCACGTTTCCTGGGCGAAGAATTTTATCAGGAGATATATACAGCTAGGGGGAAGGAGGACCTACTTGGCCAGTATCTCTTCCTGCCTCTTCTTTTCTTCTTCATCCTACGAGCAGTTTGGATTTAATTTAGTGCAAATGTGATCGCATCGTGTGACATACCTTCTTCAATTGCTGGAAGCGTTCCAAGAAAGAACCGTCATTAGAGAACACATTTACAGGCTTAACTTTCGGTTTGGGGGTTGATGACTTGGAGGAATGTGCTGAACCAGAGGGATAGTACGAGACGGAATGAGCTGGGGAAGCATACCCGCTGGTTGGATTTGAGGGGATCGGGGAAGGTGTGCTGGTCAAGGCTGCCATGTGCGTGGTTGGAGGTCAGGAGTACAAGAGCACGAATTGGACGGTAGCGGGGAGGAGGAATGAGAGACGGTATAAGACAGCTTGACTGCGATGGTTCCCGAAGCGGATGGAATCCTAAGGCGCTTAACTAAACATCCAAGCAAAATATTCGCCTGGCAAGTGTTCCGAGCCGAGTGCACCTTCCACCATCGACAATGGACATGGCATATAGTATGGAGCCCTCGTACTCTCCAGTTCACTTTTGCTGGTCTCCGTTCTCGCTGGATTCATCTTGGTAAATACCTCTCATCAGGCCCCCAGGAGCGCAGCTGCTGGCTGCTGAGACGAAGCATCAGCCGCAACCACCATTGGTCCACCACTGTACAATTCGATTGCAGTCACTCGTTGGTCGTTATGAACGTCAGAAAGACATAGACGGATATGCACTACTGTATCCATCCTCTTCTGCTAGCGGGAGACTGAAATGTGCATAGTTTTCCCCTGCTCCTTTCCCTTATATCACATCTTGCGGCAGCTTCGCCGATTGTCTTGCGTGTTTTCATTGAAATTCATTCCTGTGCGACTCCGTGAATGCCTTACGGCTTGTCTGTATCATGGAAGCATGGTTCCGCCGTGAATTGCTTCTGCTTGCTGCGTACATTCATACGGCGGCCGCTACACTACAGGTCGCTACTTATTCAGTTTCGGCCGCCTTCAGATGGACGTCGTTCTTCAAGCTTTCATGAGATCAACAACGTATCAGGTAAGTTTAGAAATTGTTGTCAACGGCTCCCCTGCATATCAATGATACAGTGCGCACTAGTACTGCCTCCAGTGAAGTGGGTTGATGTCCCAACTATGATACGCACTCAGACCGCTTCGAAGCGCGGTTCCAACTGTCAGATAGCGACAGACCAACAGCCCTAACTGTTCCTTCTTATGTGCGCAACGTGGCATGTCGTACACTCGCACGTATCACACGGCGACCTTCTACATTCCCGCGCACGCAGTGGCATTGAAAGTGTGTATTGTCTTCTCCTAGGAACAGTGCTATAAAACAGGGGTTCTGGTCAGCGTAGTGGAATCATTGAACACACATTCCTTGGTTCTCCTCTCACCATGACAGACTTTGAAACCTTCAAGCAGCAGTTCAAGGGCGATCTTGTCCTTCCGACAGACCCTGGGTATGATGAGGCGATCGATCGCTGGGCGCACAACGCGATAAAGCAAGCAAAGATCGTTGCTTTCGTCAAGGATGCTGCAGACGTCGCCGCTGCAATTAACTACGCCAAAGCAAACAAGTTGCCCCTTGCAATCCGCGGGGGAGGCCATAGTGCCTCTGGGAGTTCCTCCGTCGAAGATGGCCTTGTGATTGATCTCTCCAGATACATCAATGGCGCCACCGTTGACCTGGAGAAGAAACTCATTTACGTTGGCGGAGGTGCTGTTTGGAAGACAGTCGATCATGCCGCTGCTCAACACGGTCTTGCTACTGTAGGAGGGACAGTCAACCATGTAAGTGTGCCAATTGCCGTGCGTTGTCCATGTCCAATATTGGTCTGACTGTAATGCGCGATTATCCAGACAGGAGTTGGAGGGTGAGTACATGGTCCTGGCTTCGAGAGATTTATCGGCTAACATATGCAGCCTTATCACTGGCGGAGGATATGGATGGTTGAGTTCGAAGCATGGTCTAGTGATTGACAACCTGGTACAAGTAAGTGAAACTCGTTATTCATGGTCGCGCCTTGACAATCAATCGCCATTAGGTCACTGTGGTCACTGCCGATGGAAGTATCTTGACTGCCAACGATTCTCAAAACACCGACTTGTTCTGGGCGATCCGTGGTGGCGGATCCAACTTCGGAGTTGTCACTGAATTCGTATTGAAGGCCCACCCGCAAAGGAGAACTGTCTTTGCTGGAGCCTTGGTGTTCACCCCCGATAAGCTTGAGGAAGTCGCGGATGCCGCGGACAAATGGTGGGAGACTGCAACTGAAGATGAGTCGATAATGACCATCTTCACGTCAAACTTCCCCCCAGTAAAAAAGGTGAATCGAATCCTCTCATGAGTGCACAACATTCTCAACTCTTGTAGCCGGCAATCATTGTACCACTATTTTACAATGGATCTGAAGAGGAAGGGCGCGCGAAGTTTCGGGTATTCTATGACATTGGTGAGTATGTAATAGAGTGGATAGTGTCACAACATCATTGACTTTGCATATAGGCCCTGTCGTCGCCCTGGCCAACGAAGTGCCATACGAAGAAGTGAACGGCATGCAGGTGAGGATTTTCTTATCGTGCGCCCCATGGGCTTTTGACTCACAATTCGGTGCAGAACCCTTTGGCAGATCCCGGATTCAACTATTACATGAAGGGTGGTCTCCTCTCCGAAATTCCATCGAAAGACCTTCGCCGTACGACCTTCAACGAGATTATGAAGCTAGCCAAAGAAGATCTCACCGTCACTATGATCTTCGAACGACAACCTCACCAGAAGATCAACAGTGTTCCCGCAGATGTCACGCCGTTCCGTCGTAACTTGACGGGGAACGCACTCATACTCATTCGATGGAAAGACGACAGTCCGGAGAAGAGCAAGGCGGCGCAAGCTGCAGCTCGTCACTTAGCAACATTGTTGCCCAAAGGACAAGGCTATGGTAACTACGGTAAGTTCTGACCATACTTGACGGCAGCTTCACGAACCACAATACTTACCCCCTTTTGTGAATAAGGCGGTCCAGACGACTCGGTCGCCGAGAAGAAAGAGGGTATCGCACCTCCGAATGCCGCTGAGGCTCTCTATGGGGATGCGTATCCTCGTCTTCAAGCAATCAAGAAGAAATATGACCCGGAGATGATATTCAACAAATGGTTCCTCATTGTGCCCGCATGAATCCATACTGCCATCGAAGACATGCTGTAAGAAAGTAATGCTGAGTTGGAATCTGGTGCTCTAGAGATCTTGTACTCATGTGTATCATATTATCTACAAGAGAATCGGTCTCGACCGTACGGGGCACTGGAACCATGAAGCTTGATAAGCTTGCATACCTGATGATTTCATATCCATAGAACTGGAAGTTGAATCTTACAGTGGACTTCCAGTCTCCTCTGCATTCAAATTTCATGCCAGTCACGGTACGTATGGATCCGAGTGCCGAGCTTTGTCCCGACTCCCAGGCCAAAAAGAATCACATCCATCATGCGCCGAGGGGGAATCGAACCCCCGGCGGGTCGATGTCTGAAAATGGCAACGACCCAGGTTACCACTACCCCATCGGCGCCTGTGGTTTGAAATAATATCTTATCACAACATTTCCGTCGCATTGTCGCAGCGCTGCAGAGGACAATTACGTCACCTTCAGAGGTTCATTAACATTCAAGGAGTCAAAAGGCTTCTGGCTGAACACCTTCATTATACCCTCGCGTACACGGACCCATCTCACTCCAGTGTCAGTACTTGCCTCTTCATGCCGTCTTTATTATCCACCACTCTAGCCGTGGTTATAGCTGTTGTAGCCTTCGGCACGACCTATTCCATAGTCTACAACACATACCTGGACACATCCAACCCTCTACTCACTCACCTTCCTCACCCTCTATACCAAACACATTACTTCGCATCCAAGAAAAATCCCCTAAACGTATACTTTGTTAAGAAGCTATGGGGATGGGTTACCGCTGGATTCGTCTTCCTTTTCGCAACGAGCCCCTCGACGAGCAGGAGGGCCAATAGGATTGTGCAATATCTAGTAACGACGGGTGTATGGTTGATATTCACCAGTTGGTTCTTCGGGCCCGCTGTTCTCGATAGGGTCACCGCTTCCACTGGTGGGGAGTGCATCTTAACCCTTCCCTCTGGCGGAACCCTCAACGTACCCCACGAATTCTGCTACACCAAGTCGACCATCTCACCATCCACACACCCATCCCTCTTTTCCGCACCATTCGCTATCCCTGATTCTGACTCATGGAGCGCCATACCTAGACTCCGAAGAGGTCATGACGTATCCGGACACCTGTTCCTCTTGACGATGGGCATTCTATTCCTCGCCGATCAGCTAAGGTACTCGTTCGCGAGGGTTAGGACACCTTCAGGGGAGGAAGATAGCGTGAGGTGGTCCCCTCTGCACCGGTATGCTGTCTGCGCCAACTTTGGGCTGTTGGGTCTTATGCTACTGTCGATTTACACGACGAGCGTGTACTTCCACACGCCGTTTGAGAAGTTGACTGGTTTGAGTGAGTTATGATCGTACATCTTTTGCCGATCGGTATACTCATACATGAATAGTCCTGGGCCTCTTCGGCTTTGCCCTGACACAATTACCCGTATTTCAATCGACAGAGATTCATACTCCGGTCCCTGTCGTGAATAAGCGGACGTAACGGATGTACTCGGTGCGTTTCCTACTTTGTTGAACAGCCTGCACATAATCAACTGAAATACACTCAGTAGACGACGTGCAGGAAGCCACACGCGTAATGACACAGCGACGACCCTATGACGACGTTATCTGTAGTAATGCTGACCGTTGTAATAACGTACTGCTTCCTCGTCAAATATCCCCTAGGTGTAATATGGGACAATCCATGCTGCTATCAATACTCAAACGTATTTCATGATCATCGCACCCACGACCTTTTGAGAGTGGAGGTATATTGTTTCCTTTGCATGCACTATATGCTTACACTTGTGTCGAAGCACCCGTAGAATACACCAATAAGTTACAGCAAATTTTACTTTTGCACTTTGTTTCCCTTGTGAATTTACTCGTCGAGCCAGTCCAGGAACTGGGGTGTGAAGTAGGTTAGAATCAAGGTGCAGCCTGCAAATAGTATATATCAGTGTGAGATGGGACGTTAATCACTTCGAGATGAACCCACCAGCTCGGACGATGCCTTCAACACTCTCGAACGCCATGGTCTTCAAGTCGTATACGCCAGCCCTGGCACCAGCGACGACCATAGCATACTCACCACTGACTTGATACGCGGCGAGCGGATAGTCAGGCGCAAGTTGAGCAGCGTCAGCGATGATGTCGAGGTAGGGCATTGCGGGTTTAACCATGATGATGTCTGCACCTTCATTTACATCTCGTTGCTATGAACGCATGTTAATGCTTCTTTATGAAGTATACGGAAGATTACGTACGATAGCACGGCGGGCGAGGCCTTTAGCATTGGGAGGGAGCTGATAGCATTTCCTGTCTCCGAAAGAGGGTGCACTTCCAGCAGCATCCCTACCACTATGTCAGCAAAATAACTTGCGCGGGCTCCGGATATATTCGGCTTACCGGAAAGGACCGTAGAGGGAGCTGGCAAATTTGGCGGAATAACTCATCAGAGTACACTTGTTGCCCAGCCCATTGTCGATCAACGCTTGCTTAATAGCCTTGATTCGTCCATCCATCATATCACTTGGTGCGACACAGTGTGCACCTGCTTTAGCGTAGGCCAAAGCCACTTCAGCGATACGGACAGCAGAAGGGTTAGAGTTGATGGTTCCGTCCTCGTGGAGGATACCGCAATGTCCATGGGACGTGTATTCACAGAGACAGACGTCGCATGCGATGAAGATTGAGGGGAAGAGTTTGCGGATGATTTGAATGGCCTGGATGACTGGGCCTTGAGGATCGTCTGCTGGTGTCCCCCGTTCATCCTGTATACATGGGGTCGGCTTCCATTCCGTTGCTTGTGCAACGATCGGTCACGACATACCTTCTCACATTTCATCGGCACACCAAATAGAATTACACTCTTCAAACTCTTCTTGACCAACGGACCGAGGAATTCCTCAAGCTTGTTCACGCCCCACCGACTCTGTCCGGGAAGACTGGGAATGTCGACTTTGGCGTCGGGGTCGTCAGTGATGAAGATGGGGTACATGAGCATCTCTTTCGTCAGAGAACGTTTAGCTTGCCATTTGCGCGAGAGAGGGTGGGCGTAGCCTCCTTGGAGGACTGAGCTGTTGGAAGAGGGGTGTTGTCAAGAATTGTTACTTGTACACTAGAGCATTGCTGGAACATACGAGATAGCGAGGCTTGGTGCGGACATACTTTGTGAGGATGTAGGTTAGTAGGTTAGACTGGGTCCGTCGTCAGTGACACTCAAGAGGTCGGAAGACACCGCTGAGGAATATGTAGGAGTACGAAGCGATTCGGACTCTGACGCGCTCGCGTCCGATCGTGTCCGCCTTTTGACCTCTGCCAGCAATTTACCCATGTGCTTGCATTTCTCGTCTACGTGTCTCTGTGATCATCCAGGGCATTATACGACGCGCATATACACGATATAAAGTTTCGAGATGACAGTGAGAGACTACGGGTACGCGAGAGAGTGCGAGAGCAGGAAACCTATGGGCGTGAGTACAGGTGCTGAGTCTTGCGCAACGTATTTGTCGGAGCTGGCGGTTTCTTTCCTTCCGCCTCCCATGTGTCCGCGAAATAGGCCGTGTTCTTCCCTTGTGCGTGGATACGAAGGTTTATTTATGGTGTGTAGCTCACGCATTTCAGCAATCGAGTAATGGTAGCTCTGACGCTCTCACTCGTAGTGTCGGGATCTTGCAGGTCCACACCACTACTGCAGTGGCTGATATAATATTCCTTGCACTCCGGGCAGAGCTCTTGATGCTGATACTTCATTGAATAATTGGCCGAATGCGCTCGATGTCAACATAGGCCTGCAAGGGATGAGTACTTGCGGTCAGGCTCACCATAGGGCCAGCGTTTCTTACCCAAGTTATCATCGTCGCTCTACCACCCAGGAGGGACCCCTGTGCAGTACAGCGTATAACAGACTACCATTGTCAACCCCCGCTACATACAAGCTCGCATAAAGCGGAAGCAATGAGGTCCGGACAGGGATTTCATCCGTTCTGACGCTGTCAATGTGGCTGAAGGGTAACGTAGTTTTGCTCCTTCCATTGACGCACCCTTGACAGTTCAGTTCGGCAGGCGTCCCCATTCCTCTTTCAACGTTTTTTCCTAATTCGTACGCCAGAACTTTACTAGAGCGCATCATATGAGCCTGAACCGGCGCGGAACGACTTCTCGTCCTCCGTCTACACTCGGCGGAACCCAGTTCTATTGGAGCCCCACATCAGGTTCTCGACGCAGCCCTGAACATTTTCAAATAGCAACCACTGCGTGGTCCGGATATGCATCCGAAAGGTTGAGACGAAGGACTCGGACTCGACGTTTATCTGTCTTAGGAACCCTGTTCCATGAGCTTTGACCCCGGAAGGATTGGCCGGATACACACTGCGAGACAAACCTTCTTGCACCGGATGCTAAGGAGATCATTAATTAATCGCCTCTTCTTCTCTATTGGCATAGTCAGAATATTCTTGCATTGCACGAGCACTGCAAAACTCCAACTGGTGGGTAGTCCGCCAATACTGCGTATGACGCCGCTGAGATCGCATCCGTATCTCAGCTTTACGTTCACTCATATTTCCCATCGCATATCCTTGCTTGTCATTCGAACAAATGAACGAAGGTTATCGACGTCAGGTAGCGTTGTATGAAATGAAGAATCTCGCAATGTGCCTTTATGACATGCCTCATCTATCATTCTTTATCGCCGACTTCTCACTTGACGGCCGCGGGATGCTAGCCAAGAATGGCTACGCACACGCTGGGCTATTGTTGGCAATGACCGACTAACTATGGCCAGACCTTCGTATCGTCGGTTGGCCTCGAGGCCTCCGCGTTCTGAATGTCTGATTCGGATTGGCTCGACACCGCTCTGGTGGAAGCTAACGGTGGAACTTTCTACTGGATACTCGGACTGCCTCTCGACTAGGGACGCTCTGCAACCGCTGCGCCGAGGAAGTACGTCGTGTTCGCCCTTCTAGCTACATCGCCTCGCGGGTTCTAGTATGCACCGCTGGAAAGGGTATCCGGAGGTACTTTTCTGACGCTTCGCGGTAGGCTCGAAGACTATGTTTGGGACTTTGTGAGCATCGGCGTCATCACAAGGCTCACCTCATGGATTGAACATGTTTTTCCCGACATGTTTTTGACAAACATGGGTATATTCTCATGTTTCGGCCCGACCCCAAGAATCAAGAAGTGTACCGCTTCATATAATTGGTGAATATGTTTCGGGACCATTGTCATAGAACCCCAGTGCACTACCAGAATTACCCAACCAATGCATTGCTCGGCCAGTCATATAAGGGCCATTTTCGTTCTCAACTCAACGCTAGCCCAGTACTGTCATGGCATACCCCCGTAGCCTCAGTCACCACGAAACCTTTTGGCGAGATATCTCCGGATCCCTA